ATGAACCCTCATTACCACCTTAATCCCTAATCCTTAGTACGGTCCGCAATTCGGTGCACTTATTTGGTCTGTGCAGGTAGTGGTCCTCAATTCGAGAACACCGGTCTGGAGCGTTTAATTATTATATCTACATTTAAAGCTAATCCTCTATCACTTGAATAGGATTCAATATGGCAACGTTGCAAAGTAATTGACCGCTTATGTCAAAAAAGACAATTGCATGAGTTTACGTTTTGTTGCAGAAAATTAAGTTAAATTGTAAAAATAATGACATTTTAATAATATATAAATTAACACGTTAAGCGTCATAAAGTTATATTGCACGTGTCGTATCTCATTTGGCACTTTGAACATCGCGACACATATGCTATATCTTACTGCTAAGAGTTCTATTTGGCAATATTAACGGTTTGCTCCAGTGGACCGGATTTTCAAATTCTACTGTGGCGGTTAACGTGTTAAAATTGCAAATGAAAGATACTATTCCGTTCCTAATTTCTAAACGCAATTATGCACGTAGAATAAATACAACATAAAAACATCATTTTTAGAGGTGTTTATAGCTAATATTATAGAAAATGTTTGCTCTTTTGTACTGTTTTGTTGAATTTTCCAAGTAAAAGTCAATCAAAAACCAGAGCTGTCCTCGTTTTTGCATTTAATCATATTTTTGACTATATTATTCGCTTTTTCTCCAGTATTTATAATATGTAGTATCGAATTTTGTTATATTGACATCTGCGTAACAATTATTTTTTTTTATTAAGCCTAAAGTAATCAATTCTTCCTTTAATTTTTTGCGACTGGCTCCGTCTAATATATAAGATCGTTTATATTAAAAAATGTTCTCTTTATATTCTACAAAACGAAGGTTAATTTAAACATCAAATCAGTAATAAAACGTTTAATATATCTGTAAAATAGATTTAAAACAAAGATTAAAATAATAACTAATATAAATAAAAATTAAGTATGCAATAACAAGTACTGGTTTATATACATCAATGATTTTATATTCCACATTGTACCATCCAACTATAACAACCCAAAAAATGAATTTTATCGCGATACGATGTTTTATTTTAGAAGATTTGAGAAGTGTGTATTTTTATAAACCATTTAAACTATCCAACAAATACATCTTTTTCAACATTTACATTTTTTGGAAACAAAGAAAACAAAAGGAAGAATAAAAATACAACAGAAAACAATTAAAATAGTTTGGACATTTTTAGTACGGATGGGGAAGAAAAGTAAAGTAAAAAATGGGAAGTGGAACGTTTGGGCAAAAATAAAGAAAATGGAACAGCACAGTAGAAAAGGATAAAAAGAAAAACAATAAATATTAATAAATAAAATATCTGTATACTAAGATTCGCATTCATGATGTTTTTTTAATAGTTACCTACATGTCAATTCTTAAGAAAAGAAACGTCAATATAGAGAAAAGTAGACAGTTAATGTGATTAGTAAAATTCAATAATTTAAATGATCTTTACTAAAAAAATCTACGTCAAGATAATACTTCAGCTGTCATATGTCATATATACCGTTTAGTAATGTAAATAAAGAAATAATTATCCTTCTGGTAATCTTGTTTAATTTTAGTCATCGTCTGTATTAACAGTCCTATATAAATAATCAAATACAATAAAAACATGTAAAGAATATCATTTTACCAAAAATACATTTAAATGACAGTTAATGAAATATCTCCCAATTTTATTGGACATTCATTATTAATGACGGTTCCATCTTTAAGGTTTTACATGTAGGTAAATTTAAAGATGTATAGGGGTATTAAAGTCGAACTGATTATGTATGTATATAAGTCAAAATGAGACATATACAATGTGTTTTGTTGTAATATCTTGCCATCATTTCACGATGTGATGTAGAGACAAGATTCTGTTTGTAGACAAGGAAATGCTAATACTAGATTAAGTCAAGAGTGTAATAACGCTAGATAGGGGAAATATTATACATCAGAATAGATAGATTTTAGGTTCTAATACTAAATAGAAAGAACTGAGAACCCAGTAACAACCAACACCAAAATAATACTCCTAACGAATTAAACTCTAAAAGCAGAACTTGTGCCGTGGCGCTCAGGGACGCCTTATATATATTATTGATGCGGGCAAATCGATTATTAATCGATAATCGATTATTTTTTATTAATCGATTATTTTCGATTAATTGGAAAATCGAAATTTGAATTTTATCATTCGAATAATCGACATATAGATTTACAAACAGATACAGAACCAAATCAAACATATGAAACAAGAGTAATAGGAATCCAAACCGAACCAGAACTACCCAAAAAAGAATACGAAAAATTCATAAGGGATGAGGAAAAAACAAAGGAAATAAGAGAGAAACTGGATGCGGCAACGGCAGTCGACGAAATTAAAAACCTTTTTAACATGGAATGGCCTGAAAAGGCCTTCCGAAGCACCCAAATTATAGGAGGTAATCCACTAACAGTAGACGTAGAAAGTTTTGGCATTTATGACGAAACCGAGAAATTGGAAAAAGGAACAGAGAACAGATTTCAAGAAAGATTCCCCGAACTGGAAAACGTAGAGGCCGAAGAAGCACAATCAAATAGAGAAGTAGGGGTACTGAAAATGATCTCACAAAGGATAGATAAAATAATCGATTAATAGATAATAATGAATTAATCGAAAATAATCGATTAATCGAAAATAATTGGATATCAATTTTTTAAAATAAAACTTTATTATTTTCGATTTATTGATTAATCGATTTATCTTGATTAATCAATTATTTTAAATTATCGATTAATCGAAAAAAATGGTCTAGTCGACTAATCTATTGATAATATCGATTTATTGAAATTATCGGTCATACGAAATAATCGATTTATCAAAATTATTAATAGAAAATAAACGATGAATCGATTATTTGATGAATCGATTATTTGAAATAATAGAATATGCGAAATTAATTAGTTAAAATAAATTATTTGAAATAATCGATTAATCGAAAATAATCGATAAATTAATAATTTTTAGACGAATATTCGATTATTTAATTAACTTATTGTGAATAATCGATTATTCGAAAGAATCGATTTATCTAAATTATCGATTAGTCCAAATAATCGATAAAGCGAAAATAATCAAAAATAATCGATTAATCGAAAATAATCGATTAATTGAAAATAATTGAATATTTGAAAATAATCGGTTATTCGAAATAATGGATTTATCGAAATTATCGATTATTCGAAAATATCGATTAGTCCAAATAGTCAATAGAGCGAAAATTAAAAATAATCGATAAATTGAAAATAATCGATTAAAGAAATAATTGATTAGTCTATAATTTTTTAATGAATAATTAATTAATTAATTGATTTATCGAAATTATAGATTATTCAAAAATCGGTTTTTTGAAATTATCGATTAGTCCAAACAATCGATAAAACGAAAATCAAAAATAATCGATAAATTGAAAATAATCGATTAAGATAAAATAATTGATTAGTCTAAATTTTTTTAATGAATAATCGATTAATTAATTAATTGATTTCGAATAATCGATTTATCGAAATAATCGATTTATCAAAATTATTAATAGAAAATAAACGATGAATCGATTATTTGATGAATCGATTATTTGAAATAATAGAATATGCGAAATGAATTAGTTAAAATAAATTATTTGAAATAATCGATTAATCGAAAATAATCGATAAATTAATAATTTTTAGACGAATATTCGATTATTTAATTAACTTATTGTGAATAATCGATTATTCGAAAGAATCGATTTATCTAAATTATCGATTAGTCCAAATAATCGATAAAGCGAAAATAATCAAAAATAATCGATTAATCGAAAATAATCGATTAATTGAAAATAATTGAATATTTGAAAATAATCGGTTATTCGAAATAATGGATTTATCGAAATTATCGATTATTCGAAAATATCGATTAGTCCAAATAGTCAATAGAGCGAAAATTAAAAATAATCGATTAAGATAAAATAATTGATTATTCTATAATTTTTTAATGAATAATCGATAATTTAATTAATTGATTTCGAATAATCGATTAGAATAATCGATAAAGCGAAAATAAAAAATAATAGATAAATTGAAAATTATCGATTAAGATAAAATAATTGATTAGTCTAAATTTTTTTAATGAATAATCGATTAATTAATTAATTGATTTCGAATAATCGATTTATCGAAATAATCGGTTTATCGAAATTATCGAGTAGTCCAAATAATCGATAAAACGAAAATAAAAAATAATCGACAAATTGAAAATAATCGATTAATCGACCACTTTCCTTAAAAGCCAATTAGCAAAAAACCGAAAACCCATTTTCTGCTTTAATTTCAAGTTTAGGGATAGTTTCATTCCTCCACTCTCATCCATAAATGCTTCTACAGTCGAAACTTTCAAGGTACATCCCCTCATCAATTTCCTCCATAAACAAACAAAAATAAACCATATTGTTCAGGCATTGTTTATTTATTCCAGCACTAAAGAGGTTTTTATTGTTTTTTTTTTTATTTCTAAGGGTGTTCCAACACTAAAATATTTAAAATTACGTTCATAAAAATGACTCTCCTTTAAAACGTTATTAATTTTCAAAACCTTCAAGAAAACCATCCCTTCAACTCATTAATATACAGGGATGTAGGAGCTAGAAAAATATTTGAATTGATCTTATAAAATAATCAAACACAAAAAGAATAATTCATTCATGTTCGATTACAATATGAACTTAAAAAGATCTTCCAGTTCCAAAATAGCTGCTCAATGATGTTCTAGCAACATCTGCACCAGACCTTCAAATAAAAATAACTTCTCATTTCTATTCAAATAAATTTTTGATTCGAAAACAAATTAAAAAATAATTATCTGAATATTATCAAGATATGATAGAGAGTAGCGATAAATTATTAGCTGGCTAATCATTTAGATAATCATCATAATGATATATTTATAATATCATATTATACACTTTTTAAAACCATTTAAACCGTTATAAACGGTTTCTTCGTCGGAAAAAAGTACAGTTCGTGTGTCAAAAACCTTCCCCTTAACTCGGTCCTCCAAGTTTTCCCCCGCGTAAGATAGAAGAGGAGATATTTCCAATTCAACACACGATACGATTCCTCCTGCTTGTTTAACATAGTGTTTGTGCAGCTCGAACAAATCCCTTCGGCAAGTCGAAGGGCAGTCTTTATGAACGTTTTCACAATTCTTAAGTGGGCTAAATTCAGCGTTTCTAGGCACTTCCCAGGTCACAAAGTTTTCAGAAAACTCGAATACGTCGAATATAAACTTTTCGATCTTAACACCATTTGGTATTGACGGTTGGATTTTTTTACCATTTTCGTCGATATAGGGAATTTTTTTCTTGGCTACGTGAGGCTTGAGTTCTTTCTCGTAAAGATTTGCAGCCTTTTCCAGAAAGTCAGTGGTGAAGAAATGATTGCAAATGCTTCCAGCGCGAAAGACGAGATTTCCATCCTCGTCTCGAAGACTAGCAGTTTTATCGGTTATTTCACTGTATTCGACGACTTGAATTTTTCCGTCGACTTCACAAACTACTCCTAAAGCTTCGTTGGGTGTTTCTTTAGGTATGACTTTGGCTCCGCAGTCTGCTCCTTTCTTTACACAATAACTAAAAAATAAATAAGTTTAATTAAGTAAATATTTCATGTATACCAAAAATTGGTTATAATTTGTTGATTTTGTTATTTTGTACACGTGGTAGACAATTAGAGGTAGATAAAGGTGCTGGGTGTCAGTTTTAAAGTGATAAAATTATAATAATATTAAATGTGGAAGGTTGGTTTGACGGAAGTGGAAGAAATTGGAAAAGAGGATATGGATGAGCAAAATTTAAATAATATAGTCTATGAAGAAAAGAACAGGAACATAAGATGATAATGGAAGAGAGATAAAATTGCATTTCAGAAAACAATACTGAGAGATGATCCAATAATGATAATGCTGGTAGAAATGAAGACAGACAGACAGACATACACACAGACAGATAGATAGACAGACAGACAGACAGACAGACAGACAGACAGACAGACAGACAGACAGACAGACAGACAGATAGACAGACAGACAGACAGACAGACAGACAGACAGACAGACAGACAGACAGACAGACAGACAGACAGATAGACAGACAGATAGACAGACAGACAGACAGACAGACAGACAGACAGACAGACAGACAGACAGACAGACAGACAGACAGACAGACAGACAGACAGACAGACAGACAGACAGACAGACAGACAGACAGACAGACAGACAGACAGACAGACAGACAGACAGACAGACAGACAGACAGACAGACAGACAGACAGACAGACAGACAGACAGACAGACAGACAGACAGACAGACAGACAGACAGACAGACAGACAGACAGACAGAAAGATAAGGAAGAAACTATTTTCCAAGGCTACTGACAAGAAAACGATATAAGCGACTAAATTTAACTCCAGCACAAAAACCATATTGTTTTTCAGTTATGATGCCGAAGCAGTCATAAGAAAGGTAATCAGTAGAGAGCAGAATATATGCAAAATGCATATATATGCATTTTTTGCATATTTTACCAAAGTTCAGAAAATATTGCATATTTTTCCAAAATTCAGAAAATATTGCATATTTTACCAAAGTTCAGAAAATTTAAGAAAATATTGCATATTTTCGAAAAAAAAAAAAAGTATTACTATACTGTGCAAATCAAAAACTGTTTTAACAGATTATACAGATATATTTGAAATAAAGACCTTTTAAATTCTTGTATTTGTTTTTAAGTGTCACTTCTTGTTAATTAGTTCTTGGAGGGTGGCATGCACTGGGTTTTTACCTTCTTAAGAGATTAAGCCCAATAAGGTAATTGTTAATAAATGGTATTTACACAGATAAATTATTACCTACAATGCAATAAAACGGTTTATATAAAATTCTCAGTAATTTCTTGTAACCAATCTACCCTAACATCGGAATATTTTGAATGTTTTTCATTCAGTTTAATGAGATAGTATCCTCGTTATTTGCCTAGTGAAAAGTCTTGTAATAATTTGTTGTTTTAAAAGTGTCCTAAAATGTCGAGAATTTCTTCGTGGATTATTAACTTTCCAGAGTTGGAAATCAATGGGGATAAAGTTTTTTGTAAAGCTTGTGCCAAAATAGTGGTTTGCGAAAAAAAGTTCAAAGTGGTTCAACACGTGAAAACATCATTGCATAAAGCCAAATTGCAAAAAATGAAATCACAACCGGTTCAACAATGCGTTGTGAGGTCATTTCAAAATGCCGACAAAACAAAAAGTGACAAGGAGGTATTTAATCAGGACTTGTGCAAAGCTCTTGTTGCGGCAAATATTCCATTAAAGAAGTTACAAAACCTACATCTAAGAGAATTTTTACCAAAATATTGCAATCAAACCATTCCTGACGAATCTACACTCAGAAAAAAAAATGTACATGCTATATATATATAAATGTAATAGAAGAAATTAAAGTTTTACTGGATGATAGCAATTTTTACATCATTGTAGATGAAAGCACAGATGCTTGTGGAAGATATATGGTACATCTTATGATTGGAGCCTTAAAAGAAAATGGTACATCATATTTAATTGCATCAAAACAGTTAGAAAAAACTAACAATACAACAACTGTTACCCGATTTATTCAACAATCTCTAGCAGAATTTTTTTTACCAAATCAAATTCCCTCAGAGAAGTTCTTAGTGTTTTTGTCTGACGCAGCACCATATATGATAAATAAATAAAAATATTTTATCCAAATATGGTCCACGTTACTTGTCTTCTGCATGAAATAAACTTAGTTGCAGAAACTGTGAGAACAGAATATTCCTTGGTCAAGCTAATTTCGAATATGAAAAAAATATTTTTAAAAGCCCCTTTAAGAGTGCAGTTGTATAAAGAGAGAATGGAAGGGGTATGTTTGCCCCCGGAACCCGTAATTACGCGATGGGGGACATGGATTGAAGCAGATATATTCTATGCAGAAAATTTTGAAGCAATTAAGGATTTAATTTTGGATATAGAAGACAATTCACAATGTGTAGTGCAAAGTAAAGAATTGTTAAAAAATCCACTTGTGCCTAAGCAACTTGTGTTTATAAAGGTTAATTTTAGTTTTTTACCTGATGTAATAACTTCATTGGAAAAGAAAAATTTAAGTTTAATCGAATCAACAAATTTTATTGCAACAATTTCCGATAAATGTAACAATGTTCCTGGTGACATAGGCCTTAAGATTAGAAAAAAATTAAATAAAACTTTATTAAAGAATGAAGGGTTCAATGAAATAAGGGAAGTGAAAAACATTTTTGAGGGAAAATTTTCCAAAGAAGTTTTACGTTGGCCCTGTACATTACTTCCAAAATTACGGTATTGTCCTATTACTTCGGTAGATGTTGAAAGGACCTTTTCCATATCAAAACATATTTTTACAGACAGAAGACAAACATTTTTAATAGAAAATTTCGAAAAATATTTAATTATAAATTCCTATTATAATATTACTATTTAATATATTTATACTATTCTATACTTAACTTCTACTAGTTTTTGTGTTTCGTTTGTTTTAAATAAATTTTTTTTTTTTTTTCGTGTAATGGCTTTGATAGCGTACCAAATTAGGAACAGCAATGTTAATTAGAACCCAACAGTGAATGGTCAAGTGGAAATATTCGCTAGGCATCAGAATTAATTTTTAAATAAATTAATTAATTTAAAAAATCGCGTCCCGGCTGGAATTTGAACCCGGGACCCCTAAGTCCACAGGCCAACGCACTAACCACTGAGCTAAGTACCCACCCCCTACTTTTTTTAGGTATTTTTAACAAATATGCATTTGCACATTTAGGCATAATTGGACAAAATAACTGCATATTTTTGGTAAAAACGATGCATATATATGCGCATATTTTGTTATATTTTGATGCATATATTCCGCCCTCTAGTAATCAATTATAACGTTTTCAAACAACTTAGGTATTGTGCTGAGAATTGAGATGGGTAGATATTTTTTGATGACAGATTTGCTACCCGATTTGTATATTAGAATGACAAAAAAAGTTTAAAAAATCGGGAAACTCTCCTGTGTCGATTAATTTATTGAAAATATGAAATAGAAGGCCAGACAGCAAATATTTTTTTTCCTGCATTTGTAAATTTTGCTTCCACAGTCTAGAATCGAATATTATTGTTAAAATATTGTACATCTATGAAAATTATCGGTGTATAGTATTTTTTTTGCATTTGCACTTGCATGATGTAAGTTCTGTTATGTCTGGTGGTAGGTCGGGCAGTCTTAAAAGTGGGTATCAGACTTCCATCTTGATCTACTTTCCATCCATACTCTTCAACATTAAGAAGTTGAATCTGGTTTTAAAGAGCTTAGCCAAATATTTAGCTGGTAAGAACATCTTAAACAATGTAGTCTTAGAGCGTCTTCAGTCGGTGGCAATTTAGCGATGGTTTTTGAAGAGACTATTATTCCCCTCAAAATGTTAATGGAAGTAACATTGGCAGTTTTTGAATAAATTTTTATAAACATTTTTTCAAGATTAGCGAATATGTTTTTGAACAGTGCCAAATCCATCCAAAAAGTAATGGTGTTCAAGGTAGGTTTTCCAACAGGTTCTTTTCGCAATGCCAGACAATTGGCTGGTTGTATGACAACCGGTCAAAGAATGAAAAGCAGGAAATTTTTTTAGAAGGTATTCATCCAAAAATAAATAATGTACTGCTAGAAATCGTTTTGAGTCTCCTCGACCTGTTCTGAACCATATATCTTTAGTCAAAAACTTCTTAAAATAAATTGATAAGACTAGAACATTTGTATCGTAGCAATAAATAATGCAGCGTGAATGCCCCGAATTTTTGGCTGACAATATGTGCAATAAGATACGAGTATCAGCGTCTTCGCGATTTGAATTTAAGAAATCGTCTTTTGATGGTTCAAAATTCTTCCCATATTTATTGATATTCGCGAATCCACCACTAGTTACAAATTGAATATGCTTTTACTGAATGGAGTTTTGAAGAAGTTGCTCTGACAGAAAATTTGTTAAACATCGAATGAATAAACAAGTTCCATTATTGCGGAAGTGGAGTATTGGATCGGTCAATTTCTACATCAGTTTATTTCTGGGATCCTCTCTTTTGACGTGTATTTTTGATAGAATGTTCTTTATAATGATCAAATACCACATCTATCCATTGAGCATTAAATTTATTTCTAAAAATAATGTTTACAAATATATTAGCATACTCTTTAAATGATATGCAACTTTTGGGCTTTCCTATTTTGATATCATTTTTGTCTTTGCTTTTTACAACAACAAATCCGTAATTAAAATTTTAAACGAAAACTTTAACTTACCCAAATATATTCAGCTGCAACAGGTTGAATATAGATATAATAAAGACGCAAAAATGTCTATATTTCTTCCCAAATTATTAGGTAATTTAATATATAACACATACACTTATTAATTCTTTAGTAAAAACAGATAATCATTGCCCAATGGAACATAACGAGAAGTTTTATAATAAAAAAATGAAAAAATCCTACCATATCAATAATGTGATACATCAGCCAGCACATAGAGAGAAAC